CGAACTCAGAGCTTCTCCTGTTCAGCACTGAACCAACACTATCCAGAACTAATAGCTTCTACTACAATCAATAACTCGCCACTCTCCATTTCCCCATGTGTGAAAAGTCTGGGTGTTATCTTTTAACTCCCACATCATTAACATCCCTCGGTCTGCATATTTCCAACTCTGTAACATTAATCATCTCCGTGCTTTTCTCTCCCCACATGCCGCTGCTAGTCTTGTTCATAGCCTGGTCACTTCCTGGATCGATTACTGCAACTCTCTTCTTTTTGGTAGTAGTCAAAAATCTATCCATCAGCTTCAACGTGTCCAGAACTCTGCTGCTCGTATTATCACCAGGACCCCTTCTATGCACCACATCACCCCTGCTCTGCAGCTTCACTGGCTTCCGGTTAAATACCGCATCAATTTCAAGATACTTTTGTGCACATTCAAGGCTACCCATCATCTCTCGCCTTCATACCCCTCTGACCTGGTTCACATTACCATTCGGGCTCGGTGTCTCAGATCCTCCTCCTCTCTTTCTCTTTCCATCCCTTCCCCCCGGCTAGCCACCGTGGGGCGCTGGGCTTTCTGCTGCTCTGCCCCCCGTCTTTGGAACTCCCTTCCTCCTGAGATACGAAACATCACTTCCCAGACTCAAAACTCACCTGTTCACACTAGCCTATTCCACATAAGCTTTTCCATACTGCTACTTTAATTTAGTTTATCTATTTGCTCTGTTTTATCCTTATAATTTTCTAAATTATGTTTGTTACTGTTATTGCTTGTGTACAGTGTCCTTGAGTGTTTTGAAAGGCGCTTTCTTAAACAAAATGTATTATTATTATTAGTAGTAGTAGTATTAAATAATGTGAGTGTCTGGCTCAAACTGTAGGTTTACATAAACAAAACAGATTGTTAAGATTATATCTAGAGATCCAAAAAAAGTTCACAAATTTCATCCTATAGAAATTAACTGAGACCAAAACAGTTATCCTGGAGCTCTCTCTCATTTCAGTCTTTGCTTCATTTTTCAGGACTTTAATGCCTTCTTGGCACATATCGACAAACAGAAGGTACAAGACTGGCTGCTGGGTGCTTCAAAGATCTCATACAGCTACAGCCAAAAACTTCTGATCATGACCGACAGAGAAAAATCCACCAGTGACAGAGTCCAGCAGGAATACAGCAAGGATCCTCATTACTCCGTGAAAGTCACCAAGGACTGCCTGTTCAACGACGCCTGTGTACCAGCAGCAGACAGATACACTGTAGTGAAAATATTTGGAAGTGTTTCAGAAGGTGGACAAACTGTGTCTGGACTTGATGGATCTTCACTTGCAAAGCTGATGTTGAAACCATCTCTGGAAGCGGCTCCAGTTTTTTCTCTCGATGGAAACACAACCACACAGTTCCAACAGAACTTCATTCGGGTTTTTATGCTCCGCGGCCTCCAAACAGTCTTAGAAACCAACCAGAACAATCAGCAGATTTACCAGGTGATGGATCGACCTGACTCCGTTTCCAGCTACAAAATCCCACAAAGACCAGCTGATCACACCACACAGTATGACCACCAGCAGATCGTAATGATGGAAAATGACCCTGTGGTCAGAAGAGCTGCTGAATATTTGTATGACAAACATCCAGCAGTTAGTTCTGTCTATGTTCTTGATGAAAACCAAAGACCCGAACTGATCCACGGTGAACCAGTGTCTCTGTCAGAGGACAGCAGACTGGTGCTGGTAGGTCATGGTAAAAGAGACAACGCAGGAGAAATGAGACTGTCAGGATACAGTTCAGGAGATGTGGCAAAAATCATTGAAAGGACAAACAGAGGCAGTGATAAAATTAAAACAACGAGTGTGGTGGCCTGTGAGGTCGGATCAGACCAACGATTCATAGAAACTCTGCTGAGGGACCTCCATAAAAATAACATCAAGACAGAGCTTCATGTGAGGGACGCTCTCGTCCAAGTCACACACACAGGAAGGAAAATCACTCAGGAAATCTCTTCAGAGGGGCTGCAATGGAGACATAAAGACAACAGCAAGAAAATGGTAGCAACCCTTGATAGAAACGGAGATGTAATAATGAGAAATGAGCCTGGAAGTAAAGGAGAGGCTGTTTTTACCAATGAAAGAAACTTTCTGGGTGGACGAAAAAACAGGGGAAACAAAAAACCAGAACAAAATTTTATAAGAGAAGACAGCTGGCCAGATGAACCGAAGAGATTTGTTAACCCAGATGTTTTCCCGAAGATTGACCAAAATAAAGTTCCTGAGATTAAATCTGCCATTGATGAGCTTCAGGCTCTGTCTTGGGGAATCTTTCACTCAGATCAACCAGTACCAGCGACAATCAATGTCAACAACCAACAAATAAGACAATATGTAATAGGGAAAAGAAGACAAAGCACTGTAAATGGGAGAACTGAAAATTATATAGACTGGCTAAATGATGGTGAAAAAATACAAGTCCTTAATGAATGTTATCAGATTAATTCAGGGGAAGACATTAAAAATATAATTCATCACTTTGCAAAGAATGGAGAAACAAGGACAACATACCTGAAGATCAATAACTGGATATATGAAGTTGAGCCTACAAAACTGTACGTGTTCCTGGTTGGAAAATGGCTTGACAACAATCAAAGAGACGAAGACGCTGATGAGATTGCTACGATTAAGAGTTGTATTGATGCACAGGTGGGCAGAGAAAGTTACACAGACATGAGAAACAACATTTTAACAAACAATAGAAATAGCCAAAACAAACAACAAAAACAAATCTATGCTAAATATGTGGGAAATATTTTTCGTGGAGAGCACGCACATGTCAACCAAGGACTATCCACTGAGGCCTGGTTCACAACATATTTCACTGCATCAGTTATAAGTGAATCTGTGAGAAATTTCCGAACATTCCCTTTGACACTTATGGCCTTGGATATGGCTTTAAATCAATATGACTCAGCTGGCCTGGATTTCTTCTTTGACAATCACCCAATGGCAAGAGGAGGAAGCTGGGTTGACCCAGAAAAACGGGGATTCACTAACTCAAGAGAAGAGTTCTTAAAATTGGAATATGACCTGTTTGATAAGTGGAATAAAAATGGTAATGTAGATGAATGGATTGATATGATAGCAACTGATTACAAAATATTTACAGAAAACGCAAACACAAAAGATTTATTTTTAGCTGATTACAAGAATTACAAAGAAAATTTTGAGCAATCTCCCAGCATCGTAGAAACATCTGGAGATATTATGAAACCTTCCACATCTGGAACACTGGGAGGATACGATGATGGCTACGTCACAAGGCGTGACTTGAATTCCGCCTCAGAATTCGAGAATACCTTCAAACATGAATCCTATTTCTCTAGAACATCTGCATCGTTAACTGAAGAGGTCCATGCTGGACTAAAGGCAAGATATGGTAAAAAGCTGGCAAGAATGCGTCTTCAGGAGGGAACGGCCCGAATGGAAAACGGACAGTTTGTATGTGAGCTCGTGTCAGAGAGAGCTGGTGCTGAGCCCGAGGAGTTCAGGGTCGATTTATCTCCACAGAGTCAACATTACAGTGAAAAGATGTGGAAGAACATTGAGACATCAGTGCATGAGATGGAGCAGCACAGTTCAGCAGTCTCCCATCAGGTCAACAAGCATGTAGAGAGGACTGGAACTGCTGTTGGAGCTTTGGGCCTGATGCTGGGACTGAAAGGAGCTGCTCGTGCCTTTGAAGAGGGAAACATCAAAGATGGTGTGACGGGGTCTTTGCAGACGGCTCATGGAGTGACGGCTATGACAACATCTGCTATTGCAAGCAAAGCTCTGACTTCAAACACAAGAATCACAAAAGCTGCAGCAACAATCATGAGGAGCCCTGCAATGACGCGTGCTATGACAGTTATACCAATAGTGGGAATTGGATTTGGGATCTACAGTGTGGCAGAAGATTTTAGAAGAGGAGACTGGGATACATTGATGCTGCATTAGATATTACCATGACTGTGTTAGATGTTGTTCAGCTTGCTCAGCCTGAACTGGCACCTTTCATCGCACCTATAAATCTGGCTCTATCAGTAGTGCGGATGGTCATTGATGATGTTTATATGGGCATCCAGAATGAACTGAACAGCCTCCCAGCGGACGCTGGAGTTTTGGACAAAATAGCTGCTGTTTTTGTTGGCTTGGGAAAAGGGATCATGCACTTTGCTATACATGTGGCTAGTGTATTTTATGACTGGCGTTATGCTGAAATTGAGGAGGGACGAAGACTTGTTGCACAGATCTCAGATTATCACCAATATTATAAAGTCACAAAGTAACAGGATGGAACGACAGCCATTGATTTTGCTGCTGGCGCCTCCTCCTGGAATGGAGGAGGTATTAACTTCTGCCTCGCTGATGAGGGTCAGTCTGAGCTCTGCATGGACTATTTTGTTTCTCGTGATGAGAGTCCAAGAAGACAATGCTGGAGCATTAACACAGATGGAAGCAAAGATATAATTCTTGGTCTGGGAGAGTCACATGGATTAGAGCACGCGACATATGAAAGAAAAATACTCATGTTCATACCAGCTGGATCTGTGACAGTGGTTTCAGGTTATAAAACTCTTTCCTATTCGAGGTACGGGACATACAGGGGAAACAGAGACTCTAATCGATTTTTTGCAGTTCAGAAATCACAGGACGAACATATGATTGAAGTCATGTTGAGCTACTATTACAGACTTTATGGGGAACCAGGGGATGACACATTCTTCCTCGGTCCACAGAGAAGTTATGTCGAAGGCTCAGGAGGAAGGGACACCTACATCATTCCTGAGAATGGAGGGAAAACGATCATTAACAACTACGATCCCTCCAGAGCACAAGACAATCTGCATTTCAGTGTCGACTACAGCCACATTTCTGTGTCTAAATCAGGAAACGATGTTGTGCTGACGTATGAGGGCTGTAGGAATACAAAACTGGTTTTTAGGAGAAGATTATCGTCACATGAACATGATGTCAGGAGACGGAGTCTTATTTGAGATTTCCTCCACGGTGGTTTCTTCAGTTCAGCTGGTGGCCAGAGGAATTAACAAGATGTTCAAGACAGAAGGTGAAGTTGTTGATGCATCACAGCCACTTTTACGCACAGTTACAAACATCTTTGGGTCTCAGTATGATGATGAACTCATTGGAAATGGAGAAAGGAACCTGATAGATGGGGGAGGAGGGATCAGGGATATTCTGATTGGTGCTGAAGGAGAAGACATTTACATGGTGAAAGGCAGAAAACGTTCCTCTGTGCTCATTGAAAATTACTCCAGAGACGAGAAAACTGACCTGGCCATCATAGAAGCAAATCTTCATACGTTTGGAGTCTGGGTATTAGGTGATGCTGTTCATCTGGTGGCTCACCATGGCAGCACAGTGTTTGTTGTTACTGTAGTGAACTGGTTCAGGTCATCAGCACACAGACACTTGCTGTTCATCACAAAGGATCTGATCACCTTCACAGTGTCAGATAACAAAGCTGACTGCCTGCAGAGGAACATCTTCACCACATGTATAAAGAGCCTCAGCATTGACTACAGCAGCTCCCCGTCTCCTCTGAGGGTGGACCTTGAGAAGGATGAGGCTTTGGACAGCGTGACAGAGATCCGGGGGTCAAACTATAGTGATGTCATCAAAGGAAACAAAGAACACAACGTTGTCGTCCGTGGATTAGGAGATGATTTCATTGAGGGGAGAGGAGGAGAGGACTGGTACGTTATCACAGCAGGACAAGGAGTGAAAACCATCAACAATCTATCACCAGATCTAACCTTGGACCTGCTCTTCCTTAAAGAACAATATCAGGATATAACATGTAGATGTGAAGGTCAGAGCATCATCGTTCAGGTACAGGGACACAAACATGCATTCCCACCCTCATGCTCACATATACAAACACTCAGCACTCACCCAACGTAGGGATAGACATACATGGACACTGTACACACAATCACACTCCCCAAGCAAACTCTATACCTCAGGTCCAGGTACCCTCGCCCCTGGAGGGGGAAACGGCACCTAGACCCAGGAGATGCTACCCTTTCCCCCGGGGTGGAGGCAGGAAACTGCCGTTTACGTGTGGATGAAAGGTGCAAACGCATAGAAAAATCTGTGTTTTCAAAAATACCCGCGTAGGTGTGGACGCAGCCTCAGTGAAAATCAGTCAGTGTTTTAGAAGGAAGTAGAGAAATATAACAGCCTTTCATTCCTAATGTGTGGTGTAGCAAACATTTTGTGCTGCTTTTGCCCTTTGTCATCTTTCTGGTTACATATTTTACGATAATCGTGTTCCTTTTGTCAAAGTATAGAAATGTAACATTGGCATAGATAAAGTTCTGCTTTGTATGTGGATTTGTGACGCTTCTTCTCCTTTTACCCAAGTTATATTCATAATCTAGGTAAAACAGAAGTAAAGCAAACCTTATAATTACCTGCTAAAAATGTGTTCTGATGTGTTCTGTAGAAGAACTTTAGATTTGTCCATTATTGGAAGATCAGCTCCTTCGGTTTTGTGTAGGTCCGTATTTGTCAAGGATCATTTTTTCCAAATCTCAAATACTTGTTAACTAAACATTTATGAAACTAAATGTACAGATAATAAATAATTGTTTGGCCAACCTTGCTTAAACAATAGTGAGGCTTAGGGGCCCAGATGTCAAATGGGATTAGGCTTACATCCATGGAAGCGGAAAAAGAATGGGATTATTAGGATTTTCCGAGCCTGTCAGTGTCAGTTTCTCTCTCATGGCTTGGGGGAACTCTTTTGATGACGTTTGATGTCAGAGCAAATGTTGATGAATAGTTACCTACGTCACAACTACTATGGGGTTTTCTCCCAGTGGGCTGACTATTCCTTTGCATGGGTACACAGACGATCTATCACTGGCTCTGTCTGCTTTATCTTTCCGAGCCCTGCAATAAGCCCTACATGAGCAGTGTTCTGACGCACCACATGTCGCATGATATCAAGCCTCCACTGATGTATTGTTCACTAACAGTGACAATGTTACCAGCACAAGCATAGACTAAGTTTCATATTATTCACACACACAGACATGTTTGTGTGTATGTGTGTTGTTATTGGGAGGGACTATCAGCATTTATGTCAGCGGTCACAAAGACAAAATACTGCAAGTACATAATAATCAGTCTAATCTGATAAAAACTGCTTCAAAGGTCGGGCACCATTCCCCCAAAATACAGTCATATTTCTATATATCTGCAAAATTTCAAAACATTACTGCTTCATTCAGGAGCAATGCTTCTGCGTCACCATGCTAACTGGACAAGTCAAAAAGAAACACAGCTGGAGTTACAGTCAGGGGGAAAACAATGATTTGAACCCCAGCTGATGTTGTCAGTTTGGCCAGCTGATCATTGCAGTGAGTAATCAGCCTGCTGTATATGAAAATAGATACTAACACACGCCTAGCTTGGCTAACTGCTAATCACCTACCTTTCCTTATGATGATTGTTTATCACTGCTTTAATGATTCTGATAGTAAAAATACACCCTAAGTGTCAGGAATCAAGCGAGCCCCTATCAGAAAGCACCTGGTGACAGTGGGAATGAAAAACTCCTTTTTAACAGGAACAAACCTCTAGTAGAACCAGGCTCAGGGAGGGGCGGGGCCATCTGCCATGATGGGTTGGAAATCTGAGACAGAAGAAGAAGAGCAAGAAAATGAACCATCATGAAAGGACAGGACCTGCACAGCATGCAGAAGAAGTGGCTTGTGTTTAGAAGTCGCACCAATGGCTAGCAAAGCTGCACTGAAAGAAAGCACATGCATTAATCATGGCAGCACATAAGGCAAGAGCCCAGGTGCAGGCTGTGCAAAGATGCCCCTGAGACCATCCAGCACATAACAGCAGGGTGCAAGATGCTGGCAGGCAGGACACACGTGGAACGCCATAACCAAGTGGCCTGAAGCTGCAGGTTTTGTCACTCTCCATCCAAAATTCACTGAATCAGCAGCAAAAGAAGGTCCAAGCTACGCTTCACGTTTGATAAACATGAATTGACTCTTCAATCACACTTCATGCACTGTCTCTCTCAGTGCAACAAGAACAGTTTCTCATCTCAAATCTCTGTTCTGCGCATTTTTCGCTTGCTTGTTGTGCACCAGTCTACCGTTGCTTACAGCGCAGTCGGACGCTGTTTTGTTTATGTTTTGTTTTGTTATTTCAAAAATGACCTCCAACAAGAAAGTTCAATACCGAAGAAATGTAAACGTTTTAAAATGATGCCAAATCACAAACTGCTTAGCTGTGTCTGTAATCAGACCTCTGTACCTTTGCTCTGCTTCACTTCAGCAGCATCAGGTAAAGTGACAGAGAGAATCATATGTTGATTCATGGTTTTCTTCAGTTTTAGATCTGCTGCTGAATATTTTCAAGGCAGTTTCTTTGTTTATTATTTTCTGTGTTTCTGTGTGCTTGCGTGTTCCTCTTTGTTTTCTGTCACAATGTATTTTATTGATATCCCAGTTTGTGTTCTTCTACGGCATCTATGACTCACAGGAAAATATGACAGCAGGTGGTGCGTGATGTAATACGGGCCACATATAAGTGTGTTCTCTGTCTGCTGACTCTACCTGAGGACAAAGCAAAATTAGGAAACGCGAAACATTGCAAACTGGACCCCCGCTGGGTTTTGAGGTGTTTCAAGATGTCTAAATATGCACACTGAAAATGTTTACCGGGCTTTAGAGAGTGCAGGAGCTAAGTTATTGTCTTTAGGATAATTCTCTGATCACTGAAGATTTTATTACCAGGTTTTATTCATACTAACTAAACATTCAGTTGGATAAGCACAACACAATCGTTGTGTACTTCTATGACTGGTAGGTAGAGTATGTCATCACCAAGGTCCAAGCTCCCACTTCTTCTGTATGGGATCCTCCTGTGCAGCGCCTCTGCTCCGCTTCCAGTTATCAGCCGGACGAGACAAACGGTACGAAGCGCCGGATCACTGGTTTCACCCAGCAGCAACATCTGGGACAAGAGGGAAGTGACAGCGAAAGACGGAGAATACCTGCTGGGCATAAAGAGACTGAGAAGGCTTTACTGTAACGTGGGCATTGGTTTCCACATTCAGGTCTTACCCAATGGGAAGATCACGGGCGTGCACAATGAAAACAGATACAGTAAGTAATTTTTCCTTTCCCTGATTCATCACCTTTATCATTTGTTGCTATGATAAGAACAAATATAAAGACACAACTATCTCAAAGTTTGGTCAAGTGATTTCTGCGTGGATTGAGGAGACTGCTTGTTGCATGCAAACATACTGTACATTATTATATTCTTCTGTTTTGTATCTCTACATCAAAAGATAAGAAATCATGCAGTTGCATTATGTTAATAAATAGCTTTAAAAAAAAGAATTCCTGCTGACACTCAGAAAAATAAAGTCAGGTTTGCAATAAACTTGAAAACAATGGCCAGCAGGGGGCGGATTTTCTGCAAAAAGTCTAATTATGTTGTCTGTAAGGAAATCATTGGAATCACTGACACGTGTTATTTAATAAATGTTTGTAAATTATTCTCCAATAATGAGGAAATTGTTTCTCAGTCTGTCAGTCAGATCAGCACATCGGCTGAAGAAATATGACACGAACCCAGAAGTCGACGTGATTTCATGTTCAAATGTTCCCAGAACACTTTAGAGCGACTGAGTTAGAGTTCAGGAGGCAGAGCGACACATGCGAAAGTGTCCTTTAACAAAATACTGAACCCCAAAATGAATCTGTGTATGTGTGTGAATAATACATTAATGCCTGTGTTAATGCTTGCAGTGAAAAGCACTTTAAGCTTTCAGTTAAAGTAGAAAAGTTCTTTATAAGCACCAGTTTGTTCACTGGCCTCCAGATGTTGCCTCCCAGAACAGAGCAGAACCTTTAACCCAGTCTCCACTTATATCCTCCCCACAGCCCCATTTATAAACCAGGCTTATAATTAGTTTTGAATTCAAATATGATCTTTGCAGTAAACTGTGTGTAAATAGATATTTATAAAACGTATCTGATCTCAAAAGCAAAGTGATCTTCCTGCCAGGTTGACGCTGCTGTTTGGAACACAGTTACAGGTTGAATGAATGAATTATCATAAAAAATGGTTGGAATTATGGGGCACAGACTCAGTAATGACTGCACTAATGTGTTTGTGCATTATAAGCTTTCTCATCTGACCACCTTTTTAGGCTCAGAGGTTTTGTGTTTGTTGTTTGTCTGATTGATGTGAGGAGTTCTTCTGGTGACGACACACAGAATCCAAAAGAAGGAAAACACAGCAGGATACTTCAGGTGAATCATACGAGAAAATAAATGATCTAAAACTTGCAGCAACATGGAAAAATACAAACTACACAGGAGAGAAGATGAATGTACATGTCTATACGTATAGCAGTGACATATAAACACATGCAGGAGATGGTGTTTATGACGTGTCTCCTTAGCCTTCATGATATGAGAGGTCAGTGCTACAGGCCTGCAGCCCCTGGATGCTTCTTCTAAGGCACTGGGACCAGCCACATCATTTTCCATAGCACTGGGAGTCTCTGGAGTTGCTATGGAGGCTGACGTTGTAGAGGTGATAGAGTACTCCACACACTTAGCTAACACAGGCCTTCAGCACAGATGCTGTTTATGTGAACAAACTGAAATCAGATAATCAAACCAAAATAACAAAGTGCATATTTGTTTTTGTGTCGTGGAAATGGAGAAATATTTTAAAAGAATGAGCCTTTTGTCACGGCGGGGTGCGTTGGAGTGAGGAAAGAGGTAGACCCAGATGCAGACACGGTGGAGACAAAGCGTAGTTTCAAAAATAAAGCGAGCCTTTATTGGCTGATTGCAGAAGAAAAACAAGGAACTAGGGAAACTAAGGAGGCTATGAACACTGTTAACAAAAAGGCTGTGACACTCAGTGACAAACTATGACAAACTATGAACACTGAGTAAGCTAGAAAACACAGAGAAACAATGGAGTAAACCTATGAAAACTGTGGTGAGGCTAACAGAGGATCTGACACCGACTGAGCAGAAACACATGGATTAAGTACACATAACAAATCATCAGGGGAAGCAGAATCACACGGGGAAAACAGCTGACAACAACTAAGATAATGACAGGACAGGGGACGTGAAGCTAAATACAATAAACAAAAAACACAAGGATCCTTCAAAATAAAACGGGAAACATAACGAGACCCAGACATGACTCGAACTGGACAAACAAAGAAAAGTTGGACATGAAACATAACAGAAACACAGAAAACTTCACACAGGGATGAGACAAATGGGGAGCTTGATAAATCATGAATTAAAACTGTAACCCAGGCATGACAGAATGTAACCAGATAAACTGAAATGAAACTAGACTGAGAGGAATAAGAGAAACACCAAGAACTCAGAATACTGGCTCACATGACCCAGGACCGTGACTCCTAGTGTAAGTGTGTCTGCTTTAACGCCATTGTTCATATATGTCACAAACACAAACTTTCAAAAGAAGGCCCGTGTCGACCCATCACATGCCGGGCTCCAACCCTAAAGCAGAAAGATTGTATTAAAGTATGGTCGTTGTTTTCTATGTTGTTGTTATGGGTTTTTCAGGTTTCATTATATGACATGAACCATTTCACTAAGAAACATAAGCATACAGGAGCTGTGCTAATCTTCTGCAGATATGCAGCAAGTGTTGACTTTACTAAGCATTAGCAACTTGTCCTTTTCATGTTTCACTCCAGCCCTGCTAGAAATTTCTCCAGTGGAGAGAGGAGTGGTGACTCTCTACGGGGTGAGAAGCGGTCTCTTCGTTGCTATGAATGACAAAGGGAAACTCTATGGCTCGGTAAGAACCTTTAACTGCTGCCGTTGTTGCACACGGGGGCTTGTGATGCATGCCGTGAGTTGGTCCAAAGCATTACACCCACGTGTTCATGCTGTAACCCTCCACCAGCCACTGTTCACTGACATTTGTAATAAATGTAATAAGTGGAAATGTTTTTGAAACGAGCGGCATCATGCTAAATGCTACAGTCTTCATGTTATCTATTAAGCCTTAAATGGGCATAAATAGTTTAAGTTATGGTTTAACTGGCAGAATGAAATGACTGCTGGATGGTGATGGTGGTCAGCTGTCCCACCGAGTGATAGAGCTAAAAATATGAAGCTTGAAATGAGCAACTTCTAATGAGGTATACGTCCAGCCAACCCACTCCAGGACTATGAATGAGACAATCTACACTTACTTGTAATTACACACACACACACACACACACACACACACACACACACACACACACACACACATCTGCATTTGTATTTGTTGGTTTTGAGGGAAAGTACATTAAAACAATGATACAAACTGTGATTTACTGAAGTTTGTAGAACGCATCTCCAAAAGCTGATTCTGTTCATCTGGACGTAGCGTTTTGTGGGAGAAACGTTTCGTCATCATCAGCTGACGTCTTCAGTCTCAGCTGACTGCAGGTTTCAACCTTATAAACAGGACATTTGCATAATGACTGAAACCACTGAAGGAACAATGGGCTGGGAGGTCAGCTCCTAAATCTTAATTATGCGAATTCTCATCGCATCAAGACATTTGTAGAAAGCAGTTTGTGTTAAATTGTGCTGAACGTAATGCTGAAACAAAGCGTGTCTTATTTGTGCCTAATGTGGTTGTGATAGTTGCTCTTAGGCTTATTCATTTATCTGCAATATCAAATTCAGTTAAATCTAAAATCTTTAAATTAAGACAGAAGTTTTATTCAAATTTATAAGAAGTAAAAGAGTAATTAGCTAAACATAAGTTAGACACACACCTAATCACCAGCTGTCGTCCTATATGTACACATTTATACAGATACAGACCTGCATGCACAACTAAAGATTGCTTTAAACAGTCGTGTCTTAATGTGCATACGACTGAACTTCCAAAACAAACCGAGCACAGGAAAACAATACTCCAAAAAGCTGCTTCAGTCAATAAATAAGCTGTGAGGCTGATATCAGAAATAAACGTGCTGTAGCTGCTCACACACTGTGCAGAAGCAGAAACCTGACACATGCCGGAGGACAGAAACAGGCACCGTGGGTGCAGCTGATCTGGAAACACACAGCAGTTCACAGGGACATGTTTCTGCTCGGTGTGTGGTGCACATGCAGAAATATATTTGCTTTATGTGTCTAACAGATGTTTCTGTTTTTGTTCGATGCTGAAGGCGTGCATGTAGACATTGTGACATCAGATCACAACACGCGTTCTAATCATCAGTGTTCGTGCCACTGAGGGCAGCTGGAACGATAACCCAGCGTTTGCACTAACTGACAGTGTTTTACACTGTTTGGATGAATTCAGTTTCATTGGAGGGTTTTCCAGCAGGAGCATCTCAGCTGGATTCCAGTCTGGACTTTGACTGCACCACTCGAAAACCTTTTTTTACTTACATATCAACTTGCTTTTATGTATTGGAGCCTTTCAGATGTGGACTTGATGTGTGTCAGATTATTGTCATTCTGCAGAAACGCTGCCCTGAACTGATGGGGGGATATTGTCCATGTTTCTGGCAGAAAACAGAATTTGTGACTCCATCGATAAGCAAGTCCTCCTGGTCCTGAAGGAGCAGAGAAGCTGTATGGTGCTCTTATTACAAAAGAGTGGAAAACAATTCATTTTAGATTTATGCAAACCTACCAAAAAGTTAAACTTTTGTTTCATCAGTCTTCAGAATATTTTTTGAACGGCTTGGAAATAATCGGGCATAATAACTCGTGTGGACCTGAGGAACGTGACGTCTGCAGCTCTTTGAAGCTTGTTCTAAGTACTTTTGTGACTCCTTAATACACTATGGAGTGATTCTGATTCTGACTTTGGCTCTTCTTCCTAAGTGTGTGTGGTGATGCGGGGACACATCCAAACTTGCATTATGTACAGATGTTTGAGCTGATGACCTTGGAATGATCTTGATACAACTCGTGTAAATCTACGTCTTAGATCGTCACGAGTTCCTTGGGACCGATCCATCGAGAAACTACCAGTTGTACTCAGTCGTGATCACTAACGAGATGTAAATAGGCTTTGGCCTTGTCAAATTAAAAGACACTGTAGAAACTTTAGCACCACTTATTAAGTGCTGACATGTAAAATCTTTCGTGTTTCTAACGTTTCACCTTCCTCTTCCTCTCAGGGACACTACAACGATGAATGCAAGTTCAAGGAGAATATCCTGGCCAACAACTACAACGCCTATGAGTCAGCTGCGTACCCTGGCATGTACATCGGCCTCAGTAAAATGGGCAAAAGCAAAAGAGGCAACCGGGTCACACCCAAAATGACCATGACACACTTCCTTCCCAGAATATGAATTATGATGTGGAAACGCTCAACAGTGTAGACTGAAGTGAAGGGCTCCAACTTACATTTTGTGTTGTCCATTCTACAGTGAACGATGCTGCGAACTGAGACGCAGTTTAAAAGCAGAGTAAACGCCGTGAGATTAACCAGACTGTGAACTCAAATACACTAAACTAATCACCTGAATTCACCTCAAAACTACCAGATATAGTGACAAGTCATGAAGTTCATCCTAATGAATAAATTCAATTGTTTTAACCCCTTTTTTTAAATATGTTCATGTATAATGAATATCAATCGGAGTTTTTGAGGAGGAGGACTAAGTCATGGCGGTCGTGAATCACTCTGTGAAAAGCATCACTGACATTAAAAGTTTGAACAGTTTGGTGCAACTGAAAATTCCACAGTTTGTGCTCATAAAACATCAAACATCAAACCAAAACTGAGCTCTTCTCCTTTGGAAACTCCACCATACCAGTTACTACATACTACACCACACAACTTACTGCATGCATGCTACACCACACAACGTACTGCATGCAT